CAAGTCCTTAGAGACTTACAAAGAGACTTAGACTCCCATACAATAATAATGGGAGACTTTAACACCCCACTGTCAACATTAGACAGATCAACGAGACAGAAAGTTAACAAGGATATCCAGGAATTGAACTCAACGCTGCAACAAGTGGACCTAATAGACATCTACAGAACTCTCGACCCCAAATCAACAGAATATACATTCTTCTCAGCAGCACATCACACTTGTTCCAGAATTGACCACATAGTTGGAAGTAAAGCACTCCTCAGCAAATGTACAAGAACAGAAATTATAACAAACTGTCTCTCAGACCATAGTGCAATCAAACTAGAACTCAGGATTAAGAAACTCAATCAAAACCACTCAACTACATGGAAACTGAACAACGTGCTCCTGAATGACTACTGGGTACGTAACGAAATGAAGGCAGAAATAAAGATGTTCTTTGAAACCAATGAGAACAAAGATACAACATACCAGAATCGCTGGGACACATTTAAAGCGGTGTGTAGAGGGAAATTTATAGCACTAAATGCCCACAAGAGAAAGCAGGAAAGATCTAAAATTGACACCCTAACACCATGCAGTAAAAAATTGTAAAAGGGATATCTCCACCGAGATAATGAAGGCAGAGATAAAGATGTTCTTTGAAACCAATGAGAAGAAAGACACGATGTACCAGAATCTCTAGGACACACTTAAAGTAGTGTTAAGAAGGGAAATTTATAGCACTACATGCCCACAAGAGAAAGCAGAAAAGATCTAAAATCGACACCTTAACATCACAATTAAAAGAACTAGAGAAGCAAGAGCAAACACATTCAAAAGCTAGCAGAAGGCAAGAAATTACTAAGATCAGAGCAGAACTGAAGGAGATAGAGACACAAAAAATCCATCAAAAAAATCAATTAACCCAGGAGCTGGTTTTTTGAAAATATCAACAAAATGTATGGACCGCTGGCAAGACTAATAAAGAAGAAAAGAGGGAAGAATCAAGCAGATGCAATACAAATTGATAACGGGATATCACAATCAATACCACAGAAACACAAACTACCATCAGAGAATACTATAAACACTTCTACACAAATAAACTAGAAAACTTACAGGAAATGGATAAATTTCTGGACACATACACCCTCCCAAGACTAAACCAGGAAGAAGTTGAATCTCTGACTAGACCAATAACAGGCAATAATTGAGGCAATAATTAATAGCCTACCAACCAAAACAAGTCCAGGACCAGAGGGATTCACAGCCAAATTCTACCAGAGGTACAAAGAGGAACTAGTACCATTTCTTCTAAAACTATTCCAATCAATAGAAAAAGAGGGAATCCTCCCTAACTCATTTTATGAGACCAGCATCATCCTGATACCAAAGCCTGGCAGAGACACAACAGAAAAAGAGAATTTTAAACCAATACCCCTGATGAACATCACTGCAAAAATCCTCAATAAAATACTGGCAAACTGAATCCAGCAGCACATCAAAAAGCTTATCCACCAAGATCAAGTTGGCTTCATCCTGAGGATGCAAGGCTGGTTCAACATACACAAACCAATAAATGCAATCCAGCATATAAACAGAACCAAAGACAAAAACCACATGATAATCTCAATAGATGCAGGAAAGGCCTTTGACAAAATTCAACAGCCCTTCATGCTAAAACCCCTAAATAAACTAGGTATTGATGGAACGTATCTCAAAATAATAAGAGCTATTTATGACAAACCCACAGCCAATATCATACTGAATGGGCAAAAACTGGAAGCATTCCCTTTGAAAACTGGCACAAGACAGGGATGCCCTCTCTCACCACTCCTATTCAACATAGTGTTGGAAGTTCTGGCTAGGGCAATCAGGCAAGAGAAAGAAATCAAGGGTATTCAGTTAGGAAAAGAAGAAGTCAAATTGTCCCTGTTTGCAGATGACATGATTGTATATTTAGAAAACCCCATTGTCTCAGCCCAAAATCTCCTTAAGCTGATAAGCAACTTCAGCAAAGTCTCAGGATACAAAATCAGTGTGCAAAAATCACAAGCATTCCTATACACCAATAACAGACAAACAGAGAGCCAAATCATGAATGAACTTCAATTCAAAATTGCTACAAAGAGAATAAAAAACCTAGTAATCCAACTTAATAGAGATGGGAAGGACCTCTTCAAGGAGAACTACAAACCACTGCTCAACAAAATAAAAGAGGACACAAACAAATGGAAGAATATTCCATGCTCATGCATAGGAAGAATCAATATCATGAAAATGGCCATACTGCTCAAGATAATTTATAGATTCAATGCCATCCCCATCAAACCACCAATGACTTTCTTCACAGAATTGGAAAAAACTACTTTAAAGTTCATATAGAACCAAAAAAGAGCGCGCATAGCCAAGACAATCCTAAACCAAAAGAACGAAGCTGAAGGCATCATGCTACCAGACTTCAAACTACACTACAAGGCTACAGTAACCAAAACTGGGTACTGGTACCAAAACAGATATATAGACCAATGGAACAGAACAGAGGCCTCAGAAATAACACCACACATCTACAACCATCTGATCTTTCACAAACCTGACAAAAACAAGCAATGAGGAAAGAGTTCCCTATTTAATAAATGGTGCTGGGAAAACTGGCTAGCCATATATAGAAAGCTGAAACTGGATTTCTTCCTTACACCTTGTACAAAAATTAATTCAGGATGGATTAAAGACTTAAATGTAGGACCTAAAACCATAAAAGTCCTAGAAGAAAACCTAGGCAATAACATTCAGGACATAGGCATAGACAGAGACTTCATGAATAAAACACCAAAAGCAATGTCAACAAATGCCAAAATTGACAAATGGGATCTAATTAAACTAAAGAGCTTCTGCACAGCAAAAGAAACTACCATCAGAGTGAACACGCAACCTACAGAATGGGAAAAAATTTTTACAATCTATCCATCTGACAATGGGCTAATATCCAGAATCTACAAAGAACTTAAACAAATTTACAAGAAAAAAACAAACAACCCCATCAAAAAGTGGGCAAAGTATATGAACAGACACTTCTCCAAAGAAGATATTTATGCAGCCAACAGACACGTGAAAAAATGCTCATCATCACTGGTCACCAGAGAAATGCAAATCAAAACCACAATGAGATACCATCTCAAACCAGTCAGAATGGCAATCATTAAAAAAATCAGGAAACAACAGGTGCTGGAGAGGATGTGGAGAAATAGGAATGCTTTTACACTATTGGTGGGAGTGTAAATAAGTTCAACCATTGTAGAAGACACTGTGGTGATTCCTCAAGGATCTAGAACTAGAGATACCATTTGACCCAGCCATCACATTACTGAGTATATACCCAAAGGAATACAAATAATGTTACTATAAAGACACATGCACACGTATGTTTATTACAGCACTATTCACAATAGCAATGACTTGGAACCAACCCAAATGTCCATCAATGATAGACTGGATTAAGAAAATGTGGCATATATACACCATGGAATATTACACAGCCATAAAAAATGAGTTCATGTCCTTTGCAGGGGCATGAATGAAGCTGGAAACCATCATTCTCAGCAAACTATCACAAGGACAACAAACCAAACACTGCAAGTTCTCACTCATAGGTGGGAATTGAACAATAAGAACACACGGACACAGGACAGGGAACATCACATACCGGGGCCTGCCATGGGGTAGGGACCGGGGGAAGGGATAGCATTAGGAGAAATACCTAACATAAATGACGAGGTTGATGGGTCCAGCAAACCAACATGGCACATGTATACCTATGTAACAAACCTGCCCGTTGTGCACATGCACACTAGAACTTAAAGTATAATTTTTTTTAAAAAGTAGAGAAGATAGCTGTTAACAACATGGCAAAATGTTGAGAATTGCTGAAACTGGATGAAGGACACCTGAGGGACCATTATACTCTTTAATTTCATACATTTAGAATTTTATATAATTAATTTTTTAAGAATGTAAAACTATACTTACAAAGTTTCATGTATTTTTCACTCTTTCTGAAAAGCACTTTAGAACTGTTTTTTGTTTGAAGAAGCAAGTCAAGGTTTTTCTTAGGACCAAATAGCATATTCAGCCCAATAATTAACAAGATTGTCCCTGTTATAAAGGAAAGAAAGAATACGTTATACTCTGATCCAAAAATCCTTCCAATGTTGTATTCCAGCAGCTGAGATTTCTTTTAAAGGAACATACCCTGGAAATTCATGTACTGATTTAATTTATCTCAGAACCTAAGCAATTACTTTGGTAGTGCCTTTGATAACTGGAAAATATCAGGTAGGGTTCTAGGAATCATGCTTTAAGTGAGAGGACCCCAGCCTTTTCCCGATGCATATTTCTTTGAATTTCTTGAGTATTTCCTAGTTGTTAGGTTGCTGAAGGTGTTACTGACTGACTGTTGATTGAGCAGGGGACAGTGAAATCTTCTGAGCTCCCATAGGGATGCAGTAAGAGCCCTTCCGTGCACCAGGTTGAGGATCACAATGGAGCATATGTAGGCTCTTAATATGGCAGTGCTTGTTGCAATAATTCTGCCCCAGGAAATGAGTTCTCCAGCCACAGAGGCCGCACAGAGGATGCATGCGGGAACTCACAGTGTGCCAACAGGCCAGACAATAAAGTAGAGCTAAACTGGGATGCACAACAAACTAGCTTACACTTAAAGTTTACTTACTTCATCTAAAACCATACACACTAAAAATGGAAACAGAGATATGCTGCCATATGGAAATTAAGAAATTAGGGCATTTAAGAAATGTCAAGTGAAAGTCAAAAGCCAAGCAAAACCAGCAGTATCCAATTTTCCAGGAAACAGCAGGAGGAATCCAGAAAATAAATTTATAACTAAATTCTGATATAATAAAGATTATTTTCAACTCAGTTGTATTAAAAGCTACTCTAAATATTACTAATATTTCTTGGCTTTTGTGGCCTCATCAAATAACATCACTCTTATTTTTCTTTAAAGTTCTTAGTTGTATGAAGTTGTAATTATGCACTCTTTCTACAATTCCATAAGTAGTGAGAAGAAACTAAAAAAAAAAAAAAAAAAAAAAACTCATCGTTCATAAAATTCTAAAGAAACAAACTCATGCATGGAATAGTTCTTACTTTCATTTGTTTTATTCTCATGGCAGATCCCTAAGCAAGCTTGTAAAAGAAAAAAAGCAGGGCATCGGACAAGAAAACAAAGCAGGGGAAGAGTACACACACCTGAAAGAAATCAGAAGAAATACAAAGTTTACAAAGCCAAGGTTACCACAGAAGAAATACAGCAATGTATTTCTCTCATTAGATAAAAGCTTGAGTATTTACCAGAAATACCAAATTCTCCAAGTTAATTCAAAAATATTTCATGTAATTTGAAAATATGTCTTTCAAACCAGCCTGTCCTGACAGATGTCTAGCTCATGGGGTAGAAAAGCATATGGGAAAATGTACAGAGTAGTTGGATATCTGTCAGGGCACCAGGGGAACTGTAGCAGAACTCAGGTAGATGTAATCCCAGCACCTTGGGAGGCCAAGGCAGGAGAATTGCATAAGCCCAAGAGTTCGACACCAGCCTGGGCAACAAAGTGAGACCCCATCTCTACAAAAAATAACAATCAGCCAGGCATGGTCGTGTGTGCCTGGAGACTCAGCTACTTGGGAGGTTGAGGTGGGAGATCAAGGATACACAGTTATGACTGCACCACTGCACTCCAGCTGGAGCAACAGAAAAAGAAAAAGAAAAAAACAGAACCCAAATAGAAGCCTTCACTTCTCCTAAGTAGCACTCGCACAACTGTAATTTCTTAAGTATTTGTCTCGTTTTATATATGGTGTTTCCCCCATTCAACTAAAGCTCCAGGTAGGCAAGGACAGTGGGTGTTTTTAATATTTCAGCAGCTGGGAATGCTATATAAAGTATACCAGAAGAATGAGAGGGTGGGAAAGGGGGCAGTGATGAGAAATTGATTAATAGGTACAATGTACCCTGTTAGGGTGATAGATACTCTAAAAGTCCTGACTTAATCACTATGCAACCTATGCATGTAACAAAATTGCACTTGTACCCCACAAATTTATACAGATAAAAAGGTGAAAAAATAATCTTCAGTATCTGGCACTGTTCCTGGAACATAAGGTACATGATCATATTTTTTTCAAAATGTAGACAACCAGTGAAATCATATTAATGTTCTTAATGAATAACTGAACAAACGAACTAGTTTATCCCTTATTAACATGTTTTTTTCTCCTCATCTTTCAAACATTTTGTGGAAGAATTTGACATGTTACTTAAGCTAAAATTATGTAATCTAAATGATTCACAACATTCGATTTATGTATGCCTGGTATACACCAATAATTTTATTATTGCCAGAAGCCAATTTTTAAAATATTAAAATTGAACTGTTTATGAAATTATAATTTTGGTATATGAATCAATTTTTAAAATATTAAACTGAGCTAAGTTTATGAAATTATAATTTTGGTATGCAAATTCATAACCACTAAAATGGTAAATATATTTGTGCTATGATTTGGAGGTTTATCATTTACACTAAGATATATGAATTTTTTGGTACAAATATACTAAATAAAAATGATAGCGTCTAGGTGTGGTGGCTCACACCTGTAATCTTAGCACTTTGGGAAGCCAAGGCAGGAGGATCACTTGAGGCCAGGAGTTCAAGACCAGCCTGTGCAACATAGCAAAACCCCCGTCTCTACAAAAATTTTTTAAATTAGTGGAGTGTGGTGGCGCACACCTAGTAGGCCCAACTACTTGGGAGGCAGAGGTAGAAGGATCGCTTGAGGCCAGGAGCTCAAGGTTACAGTGAGCTATGATCACACCACTGCACTACAGCCTGGGAAACAGAGTAAGACCTCATCTCAAAAAAACATTCATAAATGAAATTCAGGGGAACCCCAAAAAATCACAATCCCCATGTATATTTACAAGCCAACCACTGAAGTGGCAGCATGAGTATCATGATCATACCTTTTCCTAACACGTCATATAACACAAGTGTTACATTGTTTACGCTTTAGTATGGACTGAATCTTTTCACAACTAATTAATTTAAAAGACCTTTGTAGTAATAAGTATTACTCAAATGCGCTGGTAAATTAAGACATTTGTTTTTAATTTATAATTTAGACATCCCTCCAGGTTTTATGTTTTAATCAAGAGAGTCTATTTTATTAAGAAAGCTAGATCATCCTGTTTCCTTCTACCAGTTACATAAGGTGCTAAATCCTGGTCAGTCCATAAAGATATTTTTGAGCAATTATTTTAATCCAGACCTTTCAAATATACTCACCCAAAAGCACATCTGATCTTTCTCTAGCATAGACACCTCCTGGGACAAACTTAAAAGCTGTGCACCAGGCACAGAAAAATATTTCTAGAAGATAAAATATCATGGCAATGGTCATGGTTTTCCCAGGGTTTGTCCCTGAGTTAATAAGGTGTCCAAGTGCTTGAGGCCACATGGACGCAGTAAAGACAGCGAAGACACAGCCGGACATAGCAGCTGCCCACGTGTGCAGGTAAAGGAGCCCCGCAGCTGAAGCTGTTCCTGTTTGTGAGAGAGAGAAATGAATCAGACAGGAAAGCAGTTGAGCTTAGAGGATGACCAATTTATAGCCTTTAGAACCAGAACACACCTTAGGGGTATACTGATCCAATCTCCAGACAGATGAGAAAACTAAGATCTGACAAGGTTAATGTGATTTGCCCAATGTCACACAGCCAGTTACTGTCTCAACTGGAGGTAGAATGTGGATCTAGTAAATCTCAGTTCAGTGCTATTTCTTCAGAAAGGGCAGGAGGGAAAAAGGCATTTTTAGGTCGTTGCTGTTAAGATCCTAACAGCAATAAAAACTAAAATTATCTGTAATACCAAAAATATGTCCATTACATTTAACCAATCAGATACAGGACATTAGAAAACAGGTAGAGTGTGGTTTCTAGAACACTTCTGTTAAGGGGCTTCTAAAGGAATTTCTGTCCAGCTAATGCTACCACCTATCCTACAAGAGGTACATTGACTTTTCCAACCACACAGCCCCAAGAGAAGAGGTAGCATTCGTAGGTTCACTGCTTGAGCAATTCTGCAATCAGTTCATTCATCACCCAACAGCCTGCTAGGTGTCGGTAGCTATGTATTCTGTCGGATCCACAGCAGGCACTCTGTAAATGTTAGTTTATTGAGCCAATGCTGAGGTCACAAAACCTTTCCCCCAATTCTTGTGAAATCAGCTTTGAAATAGCACTGCAGGGTCCACTCCATCTTGGGACCATCAATATAATCCCTTTCCATAGAAAATATGGCATTTTTGAAACATTCCAATCCATGTTGTGTAATTGGGACCCACCCTTCAAGGGTAGCTACAGCAGACTCTTCACTACTTGGGCCAAGAAATCCAGAAAGCAGTTGGAAGCAGAAAGTGGCTCCAGCCAGCATCTTAATGCTCCATAGCTCAATAAGTTCAGTACACTCCATTGCACCATCACAGGGCAATGCCACCTTCCTGACTGCCTATTTCTCCCCACTTCAAAAAGAACATCTCTCAGATGAGCATGAGAACTAGATTCCAAGGTCCTCTACAAACCATGGAGTTTAACTTCATAGGGAGATCTTCAAATACCTAGATCCTCAATGGAATTTTTTCATTTTAAAATAAAACAAATGTAATGCCTATTTGCTTTAGAAATTTTAAAAATACAGAACTGAAAAGAAGCAGTTTAGGATTGACTAAGATGGAGATGACCACAGCCAATATTTCTGTGTATTTCTAAGTCATCTTCTGTGTATATACAGAAGTATTTTTACATAAATGGAATTGTACCACATATTAAAGACTATATATGCCGCTTTTTATGAAACATTATATCAGGAACATTTACTAGTGTAAATAATTTTTTTCTAAAACACTTTAATGTACATATAATACTTCACTGGATAAATACACCCCAATATGAGTATTTTCCTATTGCTGGCCATTTATGAAGCTTCCCATGTCAAGCTTTTAAAACAACAGTGTGATGAACATATTTTTTTGTCAATGATCCCTTGCCACATTACCTATTATTTCCTTAAAACAGATTCTTAACAACACAACTCTTATGTTAAGGGGCATAAGTATTTTAAGGTCATGACTTGTGACCAGTTGCTTTCCTGAAAGCAACTTTCAGGAAACCTAATACTTGTCTTTACTTCCTGTAGAAAACCTGCCAAGTCTCAACACCTCTTAAATCCTGCCAAAATTTCATCTTTAATTTGGTAAAAATTTACCAAATATATGTAATAATGCCAAAAATCTTTACCAAATTAAAGTCAAAAATGCTATGACATTTTAAATTGCACTTATTTGACTATTAGTGAGGTTAAATTTTTCTTACTTACTGGCTTACAATGACTGTTTTTAAAAGAATGATTCTGAATTTGATATTCTAATCTAAAGATGTTAGCATAATATTGTTCTCTTTGTCTTACTACAGAGAATTATCTAGAGGGAATGAAAACATCTCTCAAATTTATCTTGACTGTTACCATTTTTATTTCTATTTTAAAATGGGCTCTATATCTTAAATCTGCCAAAATTGTACTGTTTAAGTGGGTTATAAATTCAAAATTGGAATTCAAATGCTACAAAAGGGACTTTCTGTCCCGTCACCCATTAGTTCCCCTTAGTGAAGGCAACCAATCCAGTGTAAGCACTTACCTTTGCATCCTTCCAGAGATACTCTACACATACAAAGAAATATATATGTGCATGCATTTCCCTTCCTTTTTGTACACCAATGGTAGCATGCAATACGCACTGTTAGTCACTTTACCTTTTTCACTTAACTGTATTCCTTAACTGCTTTTGTTTGAGCCTTTCCAATAATCTCCCCCCAAACCTGTACAACATCAAAGACATCAAGTGGAAGTAATGGTAACTATTTCAATAACAGTTATAATAACTCACATATAAGTTTTCAATAAATCAAGTTTTCCATGTAGTAAAATTATCTGAACACTACAGTACAATGGGGTCCTATCAATGTGTTTACTCTATCTAGCCTTTTTTAAAAATAGAACTCTGGCTTTACTGATTTAACTGCTATCAACATTTAAAGCACCTGTATCTTTGCTTGTATGAAATTGTTCAGTCACTGCCATAATTAATTTCATGCTGAGTCTCCAGTTGGATTGTCAACTTAAACTGTACAGTGGGAAAACAGGATTCCTTTGGCCACAGCTTGCTTTATTGTGTGGTTTCCAGAGACGAATCACAGTGAGAAGTGGGCACCACCTCCAGATAATTAAGCTTGAGCTCCAACTTATTGCAAGTGAGTAAGTGATCAGAAAGGAAAATGAAGCTGGTGAATTATGGCCCTGCTTTCTTCTACTGCAAACAGCCTTCTAGAAGCCTTAAATCTGCTTCTCTTAGAGTCTTTAAAGCTACTATTTAATACTGCAGAGAGACAGCAAAACTAGATTAGGTTTGACTCTCAAGGATATGACCTTACTTGTCTGGGGAAATAAGTATAACACGATAGGTTCACAGCTTTTCTGTTCTTTAACTAACAATCTATTTCTCTGTGTTCTTAAGGTTAAAATGAAGCTGTTAACTACCTGCCCAATAAGCACTTTGCTTATGCTTTATGAGAAAAGGCATGATATAAATGCTGAACAAATGCTCAATGCATTTCTTTTTCCTTTTCCAACTTATATGCAGATTAAGAAGCTTCTGGGGGGGGTGGAGCAAGATGGCCGAATAGGAACAGCTCCAGTCTCCAACTCCCAGCGCGAGCGACACAGAAGACCGGTGATTTCTGCATTTTCAACTGAGGTACTGGGTTCATCTCACTGGGGAGTGCCGGACGATCCGTGCTGGTGAGCTGCTGCAGCCCGACCAGCGAGAGCTGAAGCAGGGCGAGGCATTGCCTCACCTGGGAAGCGCAAGGGGCAAGGGAATCCCTTTTCCTAGCCAGGGGAACTGAGACACACAACACCTGGAAAATCGGGTAACTCCCACCCCAATACTGCGCTTTAAGCAAACAGGCACACCAGGAGATCATATCCCACACCTGGCCAGGAGGGTCCCACGCACGCAGAGCCTCCCTCATTGCTAGCACAGCAGTCTGTGATCTACCGGCAAGGAAGCAGCGAGGACTGGGGGAGGGCACCCGCCATTGCTGAGGCTTAAAGTAGGTAAACAAAGGCTGCTGGCGTCAAGCTCGAACTGGGTGGAGCCACAGCAGCTCAAAGAAACATGCCTGTCTCTGTAGACTCCACCTCTGGGGGACAGGTGCACAGAATACAACAAAAGCAGGCAGAAGACCTTCTGCAGATGCAAACGACTCTGTCTGACAGCCTTTGAAGAGAGAGGTGGATCTCCAACAGAGGTTGAGGATCTGAGAAGCGGGACAGAGCTGCCTGCTCAAGTGGTCCCTGACCTCTGAGTAGCCTAACTGGGAGACATCCCCTACTAGGGACAGTCTGACACCCCAACACTCACAGGGTGGAGTACACCCCTGAGAAGGAAGCTTCCAAAAGCAAGAATCAGACCAGGTAACCACTCGCTGTTCAGGAAATATTCTATCTTCTGTAGGCCTCTGCTGCTGAATACCCAGGCAAACAGGGTCCGGAGTGGACCTCAAGCAATCTCTCAGCAGATCTACAGCTGAGGGGTCCCTGACTGTTAGAAGGAAACCTATCAAACAGGAAGGACAGCCTACACCAAAAACCCCATCAGTACATCACCACATCAAAAGACCAGAGGCAGATAAAACCACAAAGATGGGAAAAAGCAAGGGCAGAAAAGCTGAAAATTCAAAAACATAAGAGCACATCTCCCCCCCGGCAAAAGGAGCGCAGCTCATCGCCAGACAACGGATCAAAGCTGGACGGAGAATGAATTTGACGAGATGACAGAAAAGGCTCAGTCCATCAAATTTTCTCCAGAGCTAAAGGAGGAATTACGTACCCAGCACAAAGAAACTAAAAATCTTGAAAAAAAAAGGTGGAAGAATTGATGGCTAGAGTAATTAATGCAGAGAAGGTCTAAACCGAAATGAAGAGAAAAATGTGACAACAGAATACGTGACAAACACAAGCCTTCAGTAACGACTCGATCAACTGAAGAAAGCAGTATCAGCGATTGAGATCAAATGAATAATGAGTGAGAAGAGAAAGAACAAAGAAAAAAGAAGAAAAAGAAATGAACAAAGCCCCTGCAAGAAGATGGGATTATGTAAAAAGACCAAATCTACGTCCTGATTGGGGTATGCCTGAAAGTGAGGGGGAAAAAGGAAAAGTTGGAAAAACACTCTTCAGGATATCATCCAGGAAACTTCCCCAACCTAGTAGGGCCGGCCGACATTCAAATCCAGGAAATACGAGAGACCGCCAACAAAGATACTTCCCTCGAGAAGAGCAACCTCCAAAGACCAACATAATTGCCAGATTCACCAAAGTTTGAAATGAAGGAAAAAATCTAAGGGCCAGCCCAGAGAGAAAGGTTGGGTTTACCCACAAAGGGAAGCCCATCCAGACTATACAGCACGATCTCTCGGCAGAAAACT